GCAACCTATTGTTCTATTATTGTGTCTATAATGACGGTACTCGACGATACTGACGATAATGACCCTACTAATCAGTTCATTAGTACCTAATCGTTTTTTTTCAGGCACCAGAAATGGTTTAAAGCTGTATACGTATTTTTCAGGTACGCCTATGATACAACCATCGGAAGGTGCCAAACGTTCAGTTACAGTGGATGTGAAGCAAATAATAACAATTTTGAAACATTCAGACAATGCGAAGAGAAATGTATAAATCCTTAAACTACCATCATCATCAGACCTCTACTGCTGATCAAAGGCACCACTTGCATCTTTTGGCTCCTTGCGATTCAGACGATGTTGTTCGTCCATCTACCGGTAGGCCTGTCTACGCCGTCTTCTGATCCGAACTCGAGCACTTTCCTGAGTGCCAAGCATGAAGAACTATAGCATTCGTAACGTAATAACATCGAGCGCTCTGATTGGTTGGTTCACTGAAGCCGGCCAATCAGAGCGCCGAACGTTACGTTACGAGTGCGATGGTTATTAGCCACTCTGGCCCATTAGCCATCAGTCCTTCGAACAATGGTGCTAGCTTGGGTATTCTGTAAAATGATTATTCAAACTTGCAAATGGAGTTCCATGGCGTTCTCCCATGTTATTGGTGGTCTTGAGAATAATCTCGACCAATGACGTGCGAGAATACGATCGAGCTGACTTTGAGAGTTCAAATTGGCATCTTACAGAATTGCTTAGCTGCCCATTGTCACATCATATTGCACATTTAAATTGTTTCAAATTAATCACTTATTGTTATTTACTTTCATAGTTATTTAAGTCAAGGATACACTAGGAGACCAAATGTTTTTCGACACGAGTCGCCAGCGACGTTGGGTGGAGTAGTGCGACGTTGCCGGACTATGTAGACATGCCTAGCAACATCAAAGTCGCAGTGGAAATAAGTCGCGCGTTGTCGCCATATATGTCAGGCGACTTCGCTTGACAAGTCGCCGATACATGCCGTTTGATATTGTCCCCTAATATTGTCCCTTGGCCGTAAAATACAATTTAATAAACATGTTTATCCAACAAACGGTGTTTTAATCACTTGCCTCCCCTGTTCATCAGTTATGTTTTAAGTTTCATTATACGGAATGAGCTTGTTGCCTTATATAGGGCAATTTAGTTTTGAATTTATTCTAGACAAGGATTCCTGGGACATGATTCAAGAGACTACACTGCCCAGCTCGGTAATAAGGTCCAACTAATGAGGCCATAAATGAAATTATTAAATACTTAGGTACAAAATAGTAACTATTATGAAATGATAACATAACAATCAACTTCTTTTTCCTCTCCTCTATTAAACTGTCAAACACCAAGCGGTCACCGGTGACCGCAACCTATTGTTCTTTAATTGTGTCTACAAAACCGGTACTCGACGAGTTAATATCTTCTGATTGATTTCGTTGCGGGATCTAAGACAGGGATTCATGTCCCTGGGACGCGCCGAACTTCAGTGTTCCGGTGTTAGCATGTAGATCCTGGCTTACAGGAGTTGCAGCGGTTTCGAGCGGTTGTGTCGGTCGAGCTTGTCCCAAAAAAATAGAACTGAACATCATCATTTACATCTTGTAACAGTTCACTGCTAGACAATAAGCCTTCTTTACACCAATGGGTTTGCCATAATATCGCTTGGAAGGGGAGTTTAAGTTTATCATAGACCGTTGATACCCGGTGTAAATAAATTGAATATAATGTCTGTCTAACTGAAGGTTGTCTGGTAGATAATGCTCTCAGTGATAATACTGTCTGTCTATTCTTGTATCCTTACTATTACTTGTCTATTGTTACAAAATAAACAGAAGTATGTCGTGGTG